ACTATTCTAAAGATGTTGCATGGAAAAACAGGTAACAGGTATGATTCCTAGTACCTATCTACTATATGTTAAAGTGTGTTTGTCTTTTCTTTACGCCTAAATCATTTTGTTTGACATTGCTATGCGTCGCAATAATAGTGCAATTTAACCAGTTGCAACCACCGGGAACAATATCAGACTCCACATTGTTCTTTTTAGCAAATTAATTCAATAGAATTTTACAGATGTATGGCTTGAAATTTACATTCGCCAAACTAACGTTTAATGGCGGGAGACGCATTAAACATAAACAATTCAGTTACGTTACAAGTACGTATAATTATTGCAATATTTTTTTTAACACACACGAATATTTAATCGGTACACGAGGCAGTCGGGAAAGTTCTAGTTATTTCATAATAATATTCTCGTTCCTCGTCCAAGTGACCGCAAGAATGCCTGCTAAGCACGAGTTGGAGTTTCCAGACTCGTGTTGTGCCGAAGTATTAACTGCATATTTTTTTATTTCTCTTATACTTGTTATACGGTCGTTATAAAAATAATATCTCGATTACGATTATCTAAGCTTTTATTTTACACTAGATTCTGCTAGCGGCTTCGACCGCGGTCTCGTGGGATAAATAGTAAGTAACCTAAGAGTTATTCCAGACCATAATTTATCTCTGTTTCAAATTTCATTTTCAGCCGTACGTAGGTACTATAAAGGAATATCTACTAAAATACATGCGAATGTTATGTCTAGCGATCGAACCGCACAATGAAGTCGGGTTTTAGTGTTTTTATTTATTCGGTATAAAAAGTCCATGTGTGATGCCCAGGATATTAAAGTACCAAGTTTCATAGCAATCTCACTATCGATACAGTTTTTGTTCGATGAAAATGGAGTAACATCTCCCGTGTTCCCAACATTTCCCTTCACTGCTCTCTCTGCTCCTATTAATTGTAACGTGATGGAAAGTTTCCTGTAACCAGTTAACTCGTCGAGTACCGGTTTTGTAGACACAATTATAGAACAATAGGTTGCGGTCACCGGTGACCGCTTGGTGTTTGACAGTTTAAATGAAAATTATTGTACCGTTGTTTCGTTAAAATCCGTCGAGTATCTACTTTTTGTTTCTATAACGGTTATATAGATAGAAAGACAATAATGTTACTAATTGCATTTTCAGCAACAGTCCAAAACTTCGCAGATTACCTACCAGAATGACATTTATTACGAACGAAAAAGGAATGAAATAAGCCAGAAAATAGTATGAGATGTACTGTTTGACGTTAAAATTTTCGAAACCCTACTCTAATTGCACAATCTGCACGAACGAAAATTCGAGTTTGACAGATTAATCTTTAGACGTTTAATGTCATTTCGACGAAACCAAAATAGTTGTCGTTTGATTTGGTTTTGGCAAATTTTTATTGAAAAATGAATGAAAGTAGTTACAAGTCTACTTTTTATCAGGGGGCTACGAGTGAGCAACACATAAATATTTGTATGGTATATTTCGTGAGACATACTAAATATATTATTATGTTTTCGGCGACTTACCCACGTAACACTACTACTGTAGCAGTGCGACAGTCGCCGCGTCGCGGGTCGCGAAATGCTGCTCATGAATATGAGCCTCTAGCATGACTTGAAACTAGTCGAGTTCCTCATCAAATTATCCGAAAACATGATAACACATAAATACGGCACGAAAGGAACCCCCTAAATAACAATAAACTTAAAATCAATGTACAGTCAGCTCAAATAGTTGTAAACACGAACCTATTATTTTATGTGTCTGTCATAGTAACATTTAGGGTACCTATTTAAATACTTAGTTGAACACTTCAAATGCAATAAGTGTAATATTTTATTTTACTGAGACTTAAGTATAGGGGAACCAAGCCTTAAATGTCCGCGAGGATATTAAAAATAAAGTGACATTGCATGAATTTTCTAGCCATAGAATCAAAGACAATCAAAGATAGAAAAATGTAACCGGCCAGCAGTAATACTGTCTATGTCCGCGTAGGTTGTATGGGCGCGAATATAGTCCAGAACAAAGAGTAAAATAAGTATAGGGGAAGTCCAGAAGTAAACTGTTACATAGGCTGTGATGGTAGGTAATGAATCCAATGGGCTCGCTGTCATTGCAGCGGTAAGTATCTTCTTTGAGGAGTGGCTTGAGAGACGCTACGGCGTCCTCACCTACCGCCTAACGTAGGTGTTTACCAGACACGGAAGTTTCGGTAGGTCCCTGTTTCGCATTGAGCGGGAGGAGACAGCTGGGTGTCATCACTGCGAGGACCACCTGGAGGACACGGTGGAGCATGCGGTCACGGTGTGCCCTGCCTGGGCTGGGCAACGCCGTATCTTCAGGGATGTGATCGGCGACGGCGACCTCTCGCGTCCGGCTCTGGTTTTGGTCATGGTGCAAGGGGGACTGGAATGCCGTCTCCTACTGCGAAGCAGTCATGCTAGCCAAAGAGAAGACGGGGCGCATGAGGAAACAAACCTCCTCGCGCCCCAGCCGTCGCGGGATACACTCTGGGCGTCGGAGATCGCATGGATCTCCACCACCGTCAGTGCGAGTCTGCGGACGATGAGCAAGGTTAGCTCGCCGCCCGACCAGAACCAGACCCGTGCGTACGGCGCGTCGCGTTCCGCGCGCGCCTCAAAGAGCCATCAACTGGTTGCCTGGGCTACGGCTCGAAGAGCAGGAGTAGGAACGGGGTGGTTTTTAGTCAATAAGAGTATACTATTCAACAAAATAATTTCTTATTGACAAGGATTACAAGAACATTGTTGTAGAGTAGTTCATAATATTTATAAATAGAAAATATAATAAGTCTAATATTTGTAGACCGATTCGGTCTCGTTCTGCGCTCGCCTCAAAGAGCCATCAGACCACCACAGATGGAGCTCAACAGGGCTAATGCCGATACGGAGCCGCGGAAGACTTAACGGGTTGCCGGGGCTCCGGCTCGAAGTGCAGGAGTAGGAACGGAGTGGTTTTTAGTCAGTAAGAGTCTGACACTCCCTTCCGCCTCACCCGGGCGGGAGAAGACGTTGGATGATTTTCCCCCCTCAAAAAAAAAAGGTAAACCTAATTTTCAAGACCGCTTATATTTTACAATACACATATCTATTTTAAAGTCGAATGGATTTTTTATTTTTAAATCTCAACTAACCAAACTGTATTATTAAGCATTTAATTAAGGCGTATATACATAGATTAGCACGGTAAGACTGAAAGTAAATTAAAGTACCCACAACTAATGCTTGATACTTCTTATTACCTATTTAATGCATGCTACACACCTTACGATTTAACTGTGTAGTTTTTACTGCACAGTAGAACTATACTTATTATACTATTACAACACCTTCATTTTCTTCAAATTCCTGAGAAATCGGTGAGAGCCATTCGTAGGTACCGAATGGGCCAGCTCGATCGGAGATATAACGGCCTCACAGAAAACCGACGTGAAACAACGCTTGCGTTGTGTTTCGTCGTGTAAGTGAGGTGAGATTACCCCTTCCCCAATTTTCCTAATCCCTGAACCCCCAACAATCCCCAAAAGGTCGCTAACGCCCTTATAACGCTTCTAGTGTTTGGGTGTCCATAGGGGCGGCACCGATTGCCTACCATCAGATGATCCGTCGATTTGTTTACCGGTTTATCCCATAATAAAAGATTGAAATCTTTCCCAATGAATCAGAATAAGCCAACATTGAATTTTTTTAAGGGGGGATAATCATCGAATGACTGCTACCGCCTGGGTTAGGCGGGAGGGAGTGTCAGACTCTTACTGACTAAAAACATCCCGTTCCTTCTCTTACAGGTCGAGCCGGAGCCCCGGTAACCCGTTAGGTTCTCCGCGACAACATTGAAGCTTGGATTTGCTTCGTTCGAAAGAGATCTCCCGACATGCTCCACTTCTCCCGTTAGCTAGGTACCATTTGCACATCTAGTCTATCATATTATTGAGTTTAGAGTGAGTATAAACTAGGATTGCTTCTGTCTTTACTTATTTCTAAATTGTATAACGATTGTTGGTACTTATATATGTATCAGAACCCAATTTAACTCGTCGAGTACCGTCATTATAGACACAATTATAGAACAATAGGTTGCGGTCACCGGTGACCGCTTGGTGTTTGACAGTTTAAACGGATGTTTTCACCATAGTAGCTCTAACCTAACCTTTAATTTCAGTTCCATCAGACGAAAATCTAAGAAGATTTATACTAATTTTATCCCTTATTTTATCCCCTTAGGGGTGGAATTTAGTAAAATCTTTTCTTAGGGCATGCTTACGCTATAGTAGCGTTATGCATGCAAGTCTCAACCTGGTTTAAAATCGACAAACTTTCATCCTCTATTTTATCCCCTTGGGAATAGAATTAATCAATATCATTTCTTAGCGGATGATAACGTCAAAACATCTAACTGCATGCCAAATTTCAGCCCGATCCTTCCACTGGTTAGAGATGTGCTTTGATGTAGGTATGTCATTTGACGTGTAGATATTTAGATGTATTTATTAATATAATTATGTATTACTATGTATTTAGTAGATATTTAATATCTCACGCTGCAGTAATCCTTAGACCCTTTCAATTAAACTGTCAAACACCAAGCGGTCACCGGTGACCGCAACCTATTGTTCTATAATTGTGTCTACAAAACCGGTACTCGACGAGTTAATTAGGTATTTATTTACATACAAAACTTTTTCCGTAGTAAAACTCGATATATACCTCTACATTATTACCAACGCTGACAAAATAATCTAAGAATGCATTAATGCCTAAATCAAAACTTTCTTGCCATATAACTTGAAATTACCCGTAATGTTACGAACTATCCAATTTCACGAATAATAAGTGAAATTAAACATCGAGAGTGACTTGAGGGAAACATGGTCGCGCTTCACTTCAGTTTAGGGGTACAGTATCTATAAGGCGTGGTGGGGCGTGCACGCGCTGGTACACTGGCCAAACGACCGGCAGAATGGACGCACTACAACCAACGCGGACTCTGTGCTTTTTCGCGCTGTTTTTATTTATCTGTGCTGCGTCTGCACACAGTGTTCCAAAACATGATCACGTGGAAGATGAAAGATTTGAAGTATACGATGGTGTTTTTGTGAATATACCCAAGGACAATAGCACCGGGAGGATGCTCTCTATTGACGTGGATACTGAAGTCACTGAAGGTAAGATTTTAAAGAATGTAGTTAGTAGACTTTGTAGTACTAGTGAAGTAGGTGTTTTTCGTGCACGAAATGGCGTTAAACTCAGCATTATATAAACTTTTATTTTGATAAACCAGTTATATTTTTTTATGAACTAGAAAAAATAGGATGGTAGTATTCTGAATCCTATATTTGTTTTCTTTAACTATATCGTTGAAGCGAAGTTTACCTCGAAAGTTACTAAACATTATAACTAACTTGTTGAACATTTAAGATCTTCCAGGTAAATAATTTTAAATTTTAAATCTGACTGTCTATACAAGCTCATGTTTGTTGTACTTCCTGGAGGAACTTAGTTCAACTTCGGTAGAACGTAAAGTTTATAATTAGTTTATAATTTTCATGCCGTTACCGCAGAAACTAAGTATTTAGTTCTAGGTAATTATTGTTTTTAAGCGTTACTCCATGTTTGTAAGTATCTTGGCTTTGATAGTAATAAGTGTTATAAGCATATAACACACTTCCGGATCCGAATAAACACCTTATCACTTTGCAACCCGCTACAAGCGATACAACAAATAATCTATTTAACAGAACATTAATAAGCTCCCCAAATAAACAAAATTGATATATGTATTAATTATTATGTCTTTATGATTTATACGCTAGAATTCTAAACTGAAAGGCAAAAATCTCTCTCGTTTTTGCTTAGGTAGGTACCTACTACCTCAGAGTGCCTACCTACTACGTATAATAAAATCATGAAACTATATAATTTCTTGTTTAATTTGACTTTTAATTCAGCTTCAAGTTGAAAGGTGAGATTTTAGGTTAAGAAAGGGGATGGGCAAATATTATCGACAGTAGGTGGTACCTACATGCTTCTCTACGTGAACTTAAAGAGCGAAGATTATTCTTCTGGCTTTGTTTCAGTGCCAATAACTGAAGCCAAGGCCAAAATGGTTCGTTTAAAAAAAAATCGTAGCTTGAAATCATTCTGTGTATGTTTTTATGTCATTTAACACTAAGTATTAAGTACCTACTCCCTTATCATAAATATCTAACTAAATACGAAATGAGGAAAAAAGTTAATGATGTCTATTTTGATCGCGAATAAACTGGGTTAAGTATAGCAGAGAGAGCCTTTTGTTTGTAATCCATTTACAAACAAAAGGCATATGCGGTGAATGGTGATTATAATACTAGCTTTTGCCCGCTACTTCGTACGCGCAACCCCGTTTTTCCCGTTCGTGATTTTCGGGAAATCCTCTGATAAATATCCTGTGTCCGTCAAGTGATTCTAAGCTACCCCCTCACCAATTTTCAGCCAAATCGATTTAGACGTTTATGAGTTATAAACAGTGGGAGTAACACGACTTCGACGAGTATACCTCTATATATCGATTTTTTCCGTACCTAATTGTACGTAATATGCTCCAGACAGTTGCAATTTACGGAGGTTCTTACAGTGGAAACGTCTGTAGCGTATACTATTTTATTTAGGTTTTTTTTTAAATTGTTGGCTAACTACCTAAATACATATATATGTTGAATTTGAGCTTAAAAAAGAAATATTAAAATGGTAACCCTCTTTGTTTAGGTGATAAGACTGTAAGACGAAATAGAATTAGGTAATAATAATAAGTATTGTTTACAAGGTTTTCCTTACCTGTACCGTTAAATAAAGTTGAGTTCAATCAATTACTCTGGGTCTGAGTGTGTGTGTTTGCTCAATTATCATATATATACTTTATACACCCTCTGTCAGTACTGGTATTACTGCCTTCAGTGGTTTGAATATTAAGTTTAGATCTAGATTTTTAGACACAAAAGCAATCCGTTGACAATAAATAAGTAAGCAGGTACGGGACCTGTCAATTGTCGAGGCTAGGAGAAGTTTAATATTCCAGAATTACGCCAAAGCCAATGGCATTACCTTGCCAAGTTAATTTGAATATCTAGTTTCTATTTTCTCTAGAAAGGATGTTTTGAAATTCGTCCCGAATCATACCTAGACACTCATATTGACCGTGTATTGTTACTAGAAAGTATTGTGACATGTGTACGACATACTAATAGGTAATAATCAGAGCGGTGACATACAACCACACAATCAAATGTTTCGTTAGTGCACTATTGACTAGAATATTCAATTACCTAGTTAATGCTCATAATATCTAGTTGTCGAAATGTTGTCCTACCTTAATATTAAACATGCGAAAGTTTGTATGCTTCTTTCTCCTTCGCCTCTAAATGGCTGATGGGTGTGAGATGAAATTGGAACAGGGAAGGCGGGTGAAACCGCTAACAGAAACTAGTTTAGACGTAATCTAGAGGTTGTGGTATACGATCATTTGTTGTCTTTGCCCGACTTTTTGTTTTTTTAAATAAACGTTGCCCCACACTAGGATTTTCTTCTGTGTCGTGGGTGCGTTTACAAACATATAAGTTCACATACACATGACACCCAGACCCGGAATAACAATCTGTGGATTACACAAAGAATTGTTCCGTGCGGGAATCGAACCCGCGACACGGTGCGCGGCAGCCAGTTGCCCAGCCAACGCGCCAACCGTGCAGTCTTTGCTTCGTACAACTCACGTGGTCGGTAATTAAATTAGAAATTACACAAATAGACTCACCGTCTAATAGTATTCAAATTGGTCATAAGCATATTTTAAATGGTATATATATTTTTAATTACCTGTGAAATGAAATGATAGTGGTGTGTACGATAAAATATATGATAAATAAATACATTATTTACTCACCGTTATAAATATTTATCTAGTGGTCTAATAACTAAGTGGAGCAAAGTAAATAGCCTAGATGCTTTTTCTTGGGGGGAAAAGGGGAAATTCTATAGAATATATACATATATATAAGTAAAGGTACATAATGTTTGAATTTATTAATTACCTACATAACGAATGCTAACATTTTTCAAATTAGGTAATTCATCTTATCTCAATAGAGTAGACGAATAGTTATTTATTTTAATGTCTTTCTAGTAGATTATTTTAAAACGTTAGACACGTATTTTTTAATTTCTTTCGGAAACAAATACTTTCGACTGTATATTGATTCGAATGTTACTTTTGTGTGTTATACAAAAAAAATGATTCATTTGATATCTAAGTATTGTTTTCTTATACGAAAAAGAATAAAACATAATTCTCTAACATTTTTTTATTAAGTACCTACCTAAATCTAACTCACAGAACATATAAAGAAGATTTATATAATATAATAACAATAATATATATATATATATATATATAATAATATTTTATCTATTGATTAATTATTAATATCATCATCTCCAAGGTTGCTTTGGCTGTGGCCAAACTTTGGTGTATTTCCCCAAAAATATCTATCTATCTATATAAATAAAAATTAATTTCTGTTCGTTTGTCTCGCTAAAACTCGAGAACGGCTGAACTGATTTGGCTAATTTTGGTCTTGATAGGTTCGTGGAAGTCTAGGGAAGGTTTAAAAGGTGAGAAAAAACTATTAAGCGGTACGATGTTTGCCGGGTCAGCTAGTACCTAATATATAAATCTTCTTTATATGTTCAGTGCTCTAACTGACGGACTAATTACTGCTATGCTACGTAGTAACGGTGACCATTTACCATCAGACGGCCCTTACACTTTATTCTCACAACCGTAGGTACGCCGCGCCGTTTAAAAAAGGAACTTGTCACTTTTACAAAAAGTATAACACATGCAGGAAACGGGTTTTCGCGATATTTTCGAACGTGTGTTTTATAAAATGGTTGCGTAAGTACAATTCCAGTTTAATCCTGTTATTATATTTTATGCAATTACATTGGATAAAACAACCGTCGTGCGTGTCGTGAAAGTAATGCAGGAGTGCAGTGACTTTACACACGCAGTTTATTTTAGTCTTAGGTACCTATTAAATTCATGTATTTTTTATGTCTTTTTTACTCTTTTCAATGAATTTTATTATACGTATTTGAGAATAATTTTGAACATCGCTCGATCATATAAGATTTGTTTTATGTACAGTCATTTTAACAGTTGAAGTGCTAATGGGATTCTGAAAGCTACTGACGCAGATTTTTATTAATTGAAATTAGTTAGGTATATCAATACATAGTATAAAACAAAGTCGCTTTCGCTGTATGTCCGTATGTATGCTTAGATTTTTAAATCTACGCAACGGATTTTGATGCGGTTTTTTTAATAGATAGAGTGATTCTTAAGGAAGGTTTGTATGTATAATACATGCATATTGCACCCGTGCGAAGCCGGGGCGGGTCGCTAGTTAATTTATAAATCAGCAACTTCGCCCGTCTTTCCAGGGGTAAATAATAGCCTATGTTTTACTCCATACCATAATCTACCACTGTTCCAATTTTCATCTTTGTCCCTTCAGCCGTTTCGATGTGAATTAATACAAACATACAAACACACAAACTCACATATTCTTAAATGTATATATCGGTACAAGCTAAATACAACTATCGCCCCTACAGTTACAGCGTAAAGTCCACTGCGGGCAAACTAACATTCGACAAACTTCTATCCGCGTTTAGTACAGTAACTACTTCTAGGAACTGAGCCGCACAATTAAATTTGTTTATGTATATGTATACATTTTTTCGGGATAAACAGTACCCAGTGTCGTGCCCCGGATATAAAAGTATAATCATTCCAAGTTTTATCATAATCGGACTGGTAGTTTTTGCTTCGGACTGGTAGTTACGGACAGACAGAATTTTTTTCGTCTCATTTTTGGTCTCGTCGTTATTTTTTTTATATTTTCAATGTACAGAATGTACACTTCTACAGTTTTATTATATTATGTATATAGATTTTATTAAAGCATTATACCTACGTGCTCTGGATTGCGAACCACACCTAAGCAAACATCGGGGTTCAAGAATTAGATAAGTGGGTAACAGAAAACGGATATTATTAAACATACATTCCACTCTAAAACTCTAATCTACTCCTAACCTAGTTGGGAGAAGTGTACGAGGAAGATTGATTCTTCACCCAACAGCAAACACTGAGATTTTATTTACTCACCACGCGTCGGAACATAATAACTGCAACTAATGGCATTCGAAGAAAAAAGTGTTGTGAGCGTCCGTCTCGCATATTTTCTCTCGTTTCACGATCATGACTTAAAATGGTGCGACTTTGGTACCAAACAATATAATGTCTGGGAGAAAGTTGATATTAAATCTAGATTCTAAATCTAATAGTCTAGTCTTGATTAAAAAATTAAAAGTTTCAATTGTTACATTCTCTTCGCGAGACGTCTGCACCTCGCCGCTTACTGATGTTTGTGAATAGAACTGCAAATTACTATGCTGAATGGAGATTCACTTCGATTGGCTGACTAAGCAGATTTTCTAAACTCATTCTTTTGAACATCAAAGGATATAAAATTATGTTGATTACATTAAAATCGCAATTTAATTTTTGGTAGTTATGTTGTGACCGAAGAAGGAAGTTTTGTCATAACCGATCATTATGCCAAATCCAAAACATGGATTTGTAAACCCAATAATGCCTTAGTAAAGACCAGAATATCTGTGTGGGTGTCTAATAGGACTTTTGTGTAATTTCCAGGTCGAGGTAAGAAGAAAAACATCATGCAGAAAATTATACCGATGTTCATCCTGCCGTTCATCCTTCAATCATCACTTATGCCTCTAGTCCTAGGCATGCTCAAGTTTATGCTCATCAAATCATTCCTGGTTGGAAAATTAGCACTCACTCTTATTATGATCAATGCATTTAAAAATCATAATTCGTTTAAAGGACGCGATGCAGAAGCAGCCAGTGAACATTATGGCTACCACGAAAATGGGATAGAACCTATTGCAACATATTTAAATTAAAATTAATATATTTTCGACTATTTCGCTGTCTAACTGATTAGCTTAATCAGGATAACAAAAGTGCTAGTTAGTGAAGGCTTGTTTCGAACACTCTATAGGAGAAACATATTTTTATAAACAATGTATTTAGCTTGATATTTAGATTACCTGTACCTTTGTCGCTTACCAAATACTTATTTATAGGATATTAAAAAGGTATAGTCCAAAATGGTAATTAAAAGACTAATTAGACCTACTATCCATGATGCGTCAATTGACAAATTATGTATATAAATTCGTAAGCAGATTTGTCGTTACCGCTTCGTGAACAGTTATAATTGTTTTCAAGCAAGATGCAAGTATTTGTCACGCGTCGTAGACAGTAGGCCTTAAACTAGCCAGCGACAACAATATGAACACAAGTAGACTATCAATTTTAAACATCTTAAATCTTTGCAATCATCGTTGTTGTCAAGAAACTTGATCTCAGTTTCATTCTATGATCGTAAATAGTAAGGTTTGATGAACGTTTGATGTCGATGACTGATGCTAAAAATTGTTAGTCTACTTGCTCTTCAAGAGCCTTAATATCTAATCTATCAAAAGATTTGGTTAGGTTAGGTCAGGTTCTACTGGACGGGTCTACTGGTAGAAGATCCTCCAACCGGCCGATCGGCAAGACTTTAAACTGTCAAACACCAAGCGGTCACCGGTGACCGCAACCTATTGTTCTATAATTTTGTCTATAATGACGGTACTCGACGAGTTAAGGGAGTCTATGTTTATTAGTCTTGTGGCTGATAATATGATACAACATCAACAGCCTATAAGTGGCCACTGCTTATCAAACGCCTCTCCTCAAATGGAGAAGGCTTTAAGCCGTATTAATCACCACGGTTGTTCAATGTTGGTTGGCGATTTCAAAAATATAACTAGAAATTATAAGCGTAGGTTTCCTCATGATTTATTCCTTCACCGTTTGTCAGTGGTATCTAAATAATCTAAGAAAGTACTTACATATAACTCGGAAACAGGCACTTTGGTACTCGCCGTTGGTAGGTTTCGAATCCGCACCCTCATGCATGAGAAGCGAGCGGTTTAAAGGTCCGGGCCACCACGATAATATGATATGACAATGATAATATTAACCTATATCGTGTAGTTAAAACTGCAGATTGGTTTTAAGAGTAGACGTTAGGATTACGTTTTACCCACGTAAATATACTTAGAAAAGCTCAATTGGTTTCGAGTCACAAAGGGACTCTTCCTCGTGAGCAGCGTGTGCGCCTGTGCGGTCGCGGCGATGTCGAACAGCTTTCTGATATTTACGTGAGTAACTCGTGTAATTTTTAGTCAATTCTCTCTCTCTCTCTCTCTCTCTCTCTCTCTCTCTCTCTCTTGCTATCTCTCTCTGTCTCTCTCTCTCGTGTCTCTCGACATTAGTTATTTAAATAAGTGGACGCTAGGATTTATTTCTATTTTAAAAATTAAAGATGCACTTAAAATGTTCTTCCTGCTATACTTAAAATTAAACTTATTCAACTGATAACTCTTTAGAATCATATAAAAAGCTATCGTCAAACAATTCTTAATTTTCGCTGCAAAGGCGTTCTAATTTATTGTTATTATTTTTATAAGAAACATTATTTCAACTAAAAAACTTTATTTCAGACCACTAGTTCTCAAATTGTGACAATGTTCTTATAGACAAGTGTTAGTGATACTTAAATTTTCTCCACAACAAAACAATTACATTATTTATGTGCATAACTTATTTTACAATTGGGATGATGACAGAGTATGAAATTTTAAAATATAATTAGTTCGTAAGTTAATAAAAGGTAAGTTAATAAGGTAATAAAAAAATATTAGACACGTATTTTTTTTATTTTGTCGTATAGGTAATAGAACATTACTTAGATCAAACGAATCAAAGTTTAGGAGTAGGGGCTAAAACGTCATTTCTACGTGTAAAATGTACATAGAAGTGACGTCACGCGACATTTCAAATCAAGATATCGTCGATAGTATTCGTTTCTGTAAGAAAATAAAAATTACGTGTCTAATTATTTAAACTGTCAAACACCAAGCGGTCACCGGTGACCGCAACCTATTGTTCTATAATATTGTCTACAAAACCGGTACTCGACGAGTTAATTAATTTAATCTACCAGACGGACATTAAAAGTAAATTTAGGCATCTACCCTATTGTTATTATTTAACCGTCAAAAATTAAGGCACGGTATAATATTATTGCCGAAAAGATTAACAAATAATACGATTCTATTTAACTGAAGACATTATAGGCTTCTTTCTTCACAAACAGTGAAGAAAGGTAAAAAAAATACTGTTACTTGATATTCTAAACCTTGATAAACTAAAATCAACCCAACGTTCCCGAAAATAAAGTTAATTTCAGACTGTATAAAACAAACTTCTTTTAAGATATTAAAATTCTTGCTTGATAATAAATACCTATTTATTTTATAAGAATTAACAACAAAAGCAAATTTCTTGAAGATTAAAAAAACTTAAAAAGCTTACACACTTACAAAGCGTACCACTTACTAAGTATTACCTAATTAAACGGTACTATAGAGTTTGTTTATGTACCATAATATTCAACACTGAAGACACTGCTTTTTAAAGCTTTTCTTTTGAATTTGGCTTTGAATCTTCTTTGTGAAAAACATTTTTCCTATTCATTTTAAAAATGACGATCTAATGTACCTAATTATCTAGTTTGTTTAATTAAA